TTAGGGCAGAGAAGTGTGCCTTAAGTGTGGAAAGGAATGCGGGATGCTAGTAGGTGATGCTGGAAGAGCTAGCAAGACAGAGAGCTGGCCAGCAGCCACCTATCTGGGCATGATCAGCTGGACAGCCTAAGAGAGGGAGAGAGAGAGAGAGATCCTCTGCTGCTAAGTCATGGGATTCTGAGGTTAAAGATAGGACAGATTACTGTGCTGAGGAGGAGGAGGAGCCTGAAGAGGGAGAGAATACAATCTATGACTTTGTATATAGGTTGTATAGCAGATGTGGGTTGAACTAACAGAAAGGGGTAGTTGTGTATACAAATAAAATTGCTGTTTTGGGGTGTGAATGTCAGATTTATTTTGTGTGCATAGAAATCTAACATAGGATGAAAGTATCAACTTAGTTTGTTATCTATTAATACTACATGGTTATGTTACATAGTATGCTTAGTGATTGATCGAATGTTTAATTTCTGCACTTAATGATTATATTATTACTTAAAATGGTTTAATAATGTTTGAGTTTGATGAATGGCAGTGACATATAAAGGATGGCCCAATGGGATAACTTGTTCGAGCTTCATAGGGTGATTGGTCAGGAAGAGTATGCTAAAAGAATGAGGACAAGAATGAATGCTGAAGCCCTATGGAGAACAATTCGAACCATAAGGGAAATCAGACAAAACTATCCCTTATTAACCCCAATGGAGTGAAGGATAATGTGTAACATAGATTGGAGGTGGAGTGGGAGATAGATCATCAAGTAACCCAAATTGAGAGAGAACGAACAGTACCTGGGGACCAGTGGTGGTAGTACAACATGGACCTAATAATCAAAATGGATGGATACTGGCAGATCTAGCAGATGAGGCAGTTGTACCTGAAGTAGACTCGGATGCATCCACTATTACCGATGTGGGTGATTCACTGACTAGAGGGATTCTCAGGTGTTTGATGATTGTGAAATATGTACAGAGAGAGCTCCAGGATGTGATTGTGTACAAAACTATGTGTGTATGTGAATATATATATATAAAGCATATTAATAGGGTATGTAAAATTTGTGATTTGCTATATTAACAAGTGCTATGTGTGACTCTGATTATATTAGTAGTATAAGTTCAATGGATAGCAGGATATTATGGTAATGAAATATTGAGTGATTAGATTTGGTTTATGCTATCCTTAATTAGAAACTGATATTATAGTGAATTTTGTTAGGAAAATGGTGAATATACGAACTGGAAAGGGGAAGCAAGTGGGTACTTCCATGGAGAAAGTTGTGGAGCATGAGTAGGACCAAAACATTACTGCTGAACTTGGGCAAGGAGGGTTACAGCAACTATATCAATGTCTGGCTAAGCTTACTACACTAATCCAGACTCAGATACCGAGACCAGCTAGAAACTTGGAAAATGTTCAAGCACAGCAGAGTAGGTGCAGGGGGTACAAAATGTAGAAATTCCACCATTACCTAATATTCTTGTGGTGAATTATGGGGAACAATTGCGAAACGATCGGGGAGAGCTTGAGAATAGGTCAATGATGATACTGAATGAGTTTCTTAAGGAACGTCCACCATTATTTCAGGGAACTATCAAACTACTAGAAGCTAAAAAGTGGTTACGACTGGTTAAAAAAGTGATGGATGCTATGGGTATAGCTCAAAGATATAGAATAGGATTGACTACATATTTGTTTGAAGGAAACGCTGACCATTAGTGGGATCTTATCAAAGGGAGAGCACCAGCGAAAGGCATGACGTGGGAGAGATTTGACACAATTTTCAATGGTAAGTATTTACTGAAAGTGTTAGAGATGGTTTATTGTTAGATTTCTTGAATCTACAACAGGGTGGAATGAGTGTCACTCAATACGAGGCACGTTTTGAAGAATTAGCACATCATAATGGTGAATATGTGGCTAATGAAGTTAAAAAGACAAAACATTTTGTGCTTGGGTTGGTCTACTATATTACACTAGGTACGTTAACACATTTACATAATACACACTGCATGTCTAGATGATCCCAGGTGCGACATATCCAAACTTCACAAGGCTTTATATGACCTTAAACCAGCCTCGAGGGCATAGTTTGCAAAGTTTTCTTTAGTCATATGTGACTTCAGCTTTTGTGCTAGTGACCATGATTATGCTCTCTTCCTACGAACCACTTCTTTAGGTTTTATTCTTCTATTACTTTATGTGGATGGTATGATTATTACAAGTGATGACAATGCTAGAATTCGACTATTGAAAACTCAGTTATAGGATTACTTTGAGATGAAAGATTTGGGTTTACTATTGTATTGCTTAGGAATAAAGGTTGCTTCCTCTCCCAAATGTTATCTTCTCTCTCAGTCAAAGTATGNCGACTATTGAAAACTCAGTTATAGGATTACTTTGAGATGAAAGATTTGGGTTTACTACTGTATTGCTTAGGAATAAAGGTTGCTTCCTCTCCCAAATGTTATCTTCTCTCTCAGTCAAAGTATGCCTTAAATATCACCGAGTGAGGTGGTTCAATGGGGGTACCAACCAAACTTCGTACCCTGAGGCTAGTGGTTTGAGTCTTGGCGTCCACATTGGAGCTTGGTAGTTGACTGATATATTAGTCTAGCTAAATTCGTTCCCGAGAGTAACGAACGTGATCACGGGTCTCATGATCTCACCGGTGAGAGCCTATCAGAGTGGTCTTTGGACGCTCTCCTTTGTCTCCACCTATTAACTCTAGCAAAAAAAAAAGCCTTAGATGTTATTTAACGAGCTTGCTTATCCAATAATCAAACGGTTGACACATCCTTAGAGCTCAACATCCATTATACTTCCTCTGATAGTTCTCTCCTACCTAATCCAACCTTATATCATACTATTATTGGGAGATATCGCTTATGTTGTTCGTGTGGTTAGTCAGTTTGTTGCTTCTCCTATCACTCTTCACTGATCTGTTGTTCTTCAGATTCTTCGGTATTTTTGAGATACATTGCATCAGAGTTTATTATTTTCTTCCTCATCATCTTTAGAACTTCGGGCTTACTCTGATGCAGATCGGGCTCATGACTTTATGGATCGCAAGTCCACAACTGATTTTTGTCTCTTTCTTGGTAATTCTCATATGTTGTGGAAAAGCAATAAACAAACTGTTGTAACTCAATTCTCTACTAAAACTGACTATCGTGCCATGGCAAACACCGCAACAAAGATAGTTTGGTTGCGTTGGCTGCTTGCCAATCTTGGATTTTCTTGTCTACTCCTACTTCTATGTATTGTGATTACATCAGTGTTATTCTTTCGGTGTTTCATTAGCGCACAAAATATATTGAGATTGATTGTCACTTTGTGCGTCGTCATCTTTAGTTGGGCACAATCTTTATCCTATTCCTTCCTTCTACTATGTAGTTGTCAAATTTCTTTAGAAAATTTCACACAATCGCGCATTTTCATTTCCTTCTTGGCAAAACTCTTAATGTTTGATGCTACCGCATCATGAGTTTGAGAGATATTAGAATAATCTAGTACATTAGTAATAGGGGTAATTTAGTCATTCATGTTACTGTGTTTTGCCCCATTATAGTATATAAGACTGTTATTGTGTAATTTTCCATTNTAGATGTTATTTAACGAGCTTGCTTATCCAATAATCAAACGGTTGACACATCCTTAGAGCTCAACATCCATTATACTTCCTCTGATAGTTCTCTCCTACCTAATCCAACCTTATATCATACTATTATTGGGAGATATCGCTTATGTTGTTCGTGTGGTTAGTCAGTTTGTTGCTTCTCCTATCACTCTTCACTGATCTGTTGTTCTTCAGATTCTTCGGTATTTTTGAGATACATTGCATCAGAGTTTATTATTTTCTTCCTCATCATCTTTAGAACTTCGGGCTTACTCTGATGCAGATCAGGCTCATGACTTTATGGATCGCAAGTCCACAACTGATTTTTGTCTCTTTCTTGGTAATTCTCATATGTTGTGGAAAAGCAATAAACAAACTGTTGTAACTCAATTCTCTACTAAAACTGACTATCGTGCCATGGCAAACACCGCAACAAAGATAGTTTGGTTGCGTTGGCTGCTTGCCAATCTTGGATTTTCTTGTCTACTCCTACTTCTATGTATTGTGATTACATCAGTGTTATTCTTTCGGTGTTTTATTAGCGCACAAAATATATTGAGATTGATTGTCACTTTGTGCGTCGTCATCTTTAGTTGGGCACAATCTTTATCCTATTCCTTCCTTCTACTATGTAGTTGTCAAATTTCTTTAGAAAATTTCACACAATCGCGCATTTTCATTTCCTTCTTGGCAAAACTCTTAATGTTTGATGTTACCGCATCATGAGTTTGAGAGATATTAGAATAATCTAGTACATTAGTAATAGGGGTAATTTAGTCATTCATGTTACTGTGTTTTGCCCCATTATAGTATATAAGACTGTTATTGTGTAATTTTCCATTTAATGCCTTGTAATACAGACTTAATTCATCTTAATGAAAATCTCTTTGTTTCTCTCTTTCTCTTCTTTCCTCTTTCTTTGATAAATATTAACAAAGAAAAGCAACGCCCATCAATGAGGAAAACTAATGATAATGGTTGAAAATTGTATTATAGTAGTAGTTTGCAACTAATCTGGCATTTGCATGCAATTTTAAGCGTTAAATTCAAAATGGGCATACTATAGGGCTTTTCTATGCAACATCTCCACATGGCTCTTGCCATTTACTATGATTAAAAAAACACACAAAAACCCACTATGTATTATGTTCGCAAGTACCATAAGTTTGTTTCCATCAATATCACAGGAATATTAATTACCTGAAAAAAAAAAAAAAAAGAAGGAAAATCTTTGGGATATTGACATGCAATGCACAGTCTGACAGAAATAACCAAATATCTTACCTTCAACTTATTCAACCAACTATACCGGGGGGGGGGGGATAATATATATTGAGATATTTAGTTAAAACCCTGGTAAAAAAGCATAAAATTATAGATTTCAACCACACTGAGAGCAACAAATGACTGTAACAAAAAGTGACAGGCACATACTGGGATCAACAGTAGTCGTCGAGGCTGTACCACCGAAGTCACAGGTTGCACCAATGCTATGCATTTTCTGATAGTAATCATTGTACGCATAAGAAGCATGGTTTTGTATAGTATCAGGAAAATAACATGGCTGCCCTGGTTGAATTGCACTGCAGTTAGCCTGACCTTGTCCACAAGCCCAATTCAGTCCATTTTGCAGCTTAGTGGTGTCTGCATCTTGTTTCGAAATACAGAACACTGCTGAAGAATTCTCAGAGATACGGTCTGAAGTACTCAAACTAAGGGGATAAACAGCAGTCCCATTGGGAAAAAAGGTACCCCAGTTTCTCTCTGAGACAGGTCCCAGCCTCTTGTCTTCATTGAACAACTCATAAACATAAGTATTAATGGGAATAGTAGGCTGACCAGGAGGACCTGAATCATTCAAAACACGCCGAATCAGGTTATTATTGAAAGTTTCAGCATTTTCTACAGTGGCATCAGCTTCATTGGCACCACCAAACCATGGCCAACCAGTTTCTGTCACGACAATTGGGATCACTGAAAAATTGAGAGTTGCTATAGAGTTATAGGTAGCATCGACCATGGCATCAAACATGCTATCATACTGGAAAAGTGTGTTTGGATCAACAATCTGCTTGACTGAGGTGAGAGGTTGAAAAAGAGCATAATCAATTGGAAAGATTCCCTTGCTATTAATGTATCCATAATAAGGATAAGCATTTAGCATGTAATAGGAATTTGTGTTCCTTAAAAACTGAAGGATCTGGAAAATTGTAGAGTTCCAAGTAGTATTGAAGGTGGCAGTGGAAGGGGGAAAAGGCTCGAGGATTATGTCCATTGATTGCGGGGTTGAAACTTTAACTTGATAATTCAGATTTGAAGCAACTAAGGCCTTATGAAGGTTATTCATTGCAGGAACCAATACAGGGGCAGCGTTTGGGATTGACGTAAGAACTTCACTACCAACTGCAACGGCTGTAATATTGGTTGATGGCAAGTATGCTGCGACGTTTTCATTAATCCAGTCTGCTGCTGCTGATGGAGATTCTCCAATCCCCAACACTTCCGCATTAGTCACACCCACCACAACTTCGATCCCAGTGTTTGAAAGCGCGGTCAGCAAGTGAGCATCAGCATCGAAAAGGCGCACATAAGTTATATGATTGGCTTTGAGGATAGCAACCACATCTGATGGTGATGGTAGGTTTGAAACATCAGTGCCAATATTTATTCCTACAAATCCACCTGCGAGTGCATGACTATGATTTAGTAACAAATAATGTGAAACTTTCTACAATTTTTGTTTCTTTGATTTATTCCAAAATACAGCTCCCTCTTCACCCCAGCAATTGAGGCCAAAAAGGAAAGCAGCCAGTGGCTAACGGTTCTTTTTCTGGTTGCTAATTACCTTCTTTACTTTTAACCTACTTGTTACAGTGGTATTACGTAGATTCAACCACCATTATGAACTCCATAAAACCACGAACACAAAAGAAAAGGTTTACAACCGAATAGCACCCTTCAGGTTCAACTAGCCAGCATTAACAAGGTACTGCCCATTATCTACATTACTTAAAAATATCAACATACATGAAAAATATTTTTTTTCCCTTTTACCCTCCAACACTACAAATATGTCATGTTTATACTCAAGATTTAAGGTCATCTATATCTATACCTATATTAATACTATTATTTCAAAATCACTTTTCTAACCGACAAACTAGCTAACAAAGAACCACCATAAAATCTTTCAATTCCTAATATTGTATAGTGACCTTTTGGGTTCACTCATCGCTGCTACTGACAATAGCTATTTGAATCCTTCAATTTGTGTTATGTTGCCCACTAATTTGCATTTATTATAATTGATTTCCCATGAATACTTCAATATCTTTCATATTCTCACTTTTTAACAATTCCGGTAATAAATACACTCTACGCAATGCGTACATCATCCATAACCAAATGCAACTAAATGCTTCCTATTCCATATCCTTTGCTTCACTCTCCTAAAAACCCTGTCTTTGATCTTGTGTTTTCAATTCAAACACCTCTCTCTCTCTTCCCTTCTTACACATCGTGTTTGTGAAATCAATGGTTTACTTCAACAGGTATTGATTCTCTCTCTGCCCCCTTACACACGAACTCTATTGTGAATTTGAAGCCCTAAAAATTCCAGCCATGGACTGTGTAAACACCCTGGTAAACACTCCGCAGCAGCCCCCTATCTTCAACTTATTTACTTGAAGTTGCTTGCAGATTCTAATGTGTGCGTTTATGTGTGCAAATTTGTTGTCTAGACTATACACAAAAGGACAAAGATCAAGATCATTGAGATTTTGTGATAAATGGCGTCCTTAAATCGTAAGTTCCCATGAATTAAGTTCAAATTCTTTTGTTTTTCTCCAATTTTCCATTTCTTTATACAAATTGACAATGAGAACAGGTTTATGAGAAGAATTGTAAGTTTTTTACTGTTTTTTGATTGCATTATTATATTCCTTTTTAATCTTCCTGTAGGATTGATCACAACATTCATTGGTTTTTTTTTTTTTGATGCAATCATTCGTGTGCGCTATCCAAGAATCTTAATCAGTTCCCTTCTTTTCCTTTAAAAATATAATACTTAAGTTCTGATTATTGAACTCATATGCTCTTTTATTTTTATTTTAGCACTCATCTAACTATGAAATTTCTTGTTCTCATCATTCATATTAGGTGGACAACAAAATTAAATGCATATGCATCATATGTTCATTTATTTAACAGTCAAATTCAAATAAATCTTATCAAAAATGTTTGGATGCACTTATGGATTCAAATAGTCAGAGAAGGTGTGATGATTGAACTCTTACTAGATGAAGCAAATGCCCTTTTCTTAAGAAAAATAGAAGTTGTTATGAAGAGAGAACATATATGGTTTGTCTACTACATGGGGGGAGAACAATAATGCTTGTTCTCTGTAATCAGTGGATAAAAAGAGTTTTTTTGAGTTATTTCTTCACAGGTCACTGGAGGGTTTCCTGATCATTGACTCCCTCATTAGTTTGTTACATATAACATTTTATTTTGCTGATAATTATTAGGAATAGTAGACTAAGCTTTTTTTTTTGTTTCTTTTTGCTGAAATATGGCATTGGTCATACGTCATCGGCAATGTGAGACTTGCTCTTTAAGACTTGCATATAATTTGAATTTCATTCAATTTGGATCAGGACCAGCCCTATGCATAGGCCACTATGGTGACTACCTAGGGCCCCAATTTTAGAGGGCCCCAAAAATTGTAATCATTAGTATTTTAGATCTAAATTTTATGAATTTGAGGTGGGTCCATTAGAGGTTGGTCCCTTTTTGTAGACTTATTTGGACTTTAGTCCACTCAAAAAACTTATTTAGGAATAAGTCTATTTTGATTTCCATTATCCAAAATACCCTCAATAATTATATTTAATCAAAACTTGTTTGAAAAAACTAACTCCTCCTAAATTGGGAATTGTATTAGTATTAACAACTCCTAACTTGGGTATTGTACTACCATTAAAATTATTTTTCTATATATATATATATATATATATACTACTGCTGCTAATAAAAATACACTATCAAGAAAAACTTTTATTTAACTATTTTATGCCTACAAGAAAACATAATCACAATATGAACCATATTCAATGTAAAACTCATTTTAATAGGACTTGATTAACATTAAATTTTGTTGGATTACTTTACTCTTGAAATATAGAATAAATGCAATACTAAACTTATTAAAAAAAAATTCATATTAATACAAATTCATTAATATTATGCATAATCAAGCTTTTTATTTTCCTTTTAAAAGACAACTTTAACTTTTAAAAGAAGTTAAACTTATTTTTATTAGTTGATGATCAAACTATGAATAAAGACACATTGAGTCTTATTTATTATAAAATTTATTTTGATGTATCCTCAATAATAATATCAAACCCCAACTTTTCATCTTCTTCTATTTTACAATTTAGTATCAAAGCATCCTCTTATTAGTAACACTAAAGTAGGGTTGTTTTTACTTTTTTATTTTTGTTGGATGATGACTAATACTATGAATGTTATTAATTAAATTGATTTGCTTACCGCAATTAACTTAATTACTTATTTCATTTCTATAACCCAACTTACTTTTAATTTTGTATAATTGTATGACCACCATAACTTAAATCCCTTTTCTTTATGTATTTTTTACAACTCAGTAAGTGTTCATGTTTTTGTGTAGCTGCTATATACATTTGCATATCATTATATGTATTTTGTGTCATTACAATAAATATAATTCATCTAAATTATTAGTTTAATATCAAAATTTCTAAATCTTAGGAGATAGCTTTATAAGAAAATAATTACTCGAAACTGTAAGAGTTAATCGAAAAAGATATAAAAACTAACATTATTTCTGAAACATTCCAATATAAATCATATGTAGCAAGTTTACTAAATTGTTTTATTCATAAGTATTTATAGGTGGTGGTATTTGTAGGATTATTTCAAACATTTACAAAAATAAAATTGAAACAAAACTACAATTTAAAATGATTCACGTGCAAAGCACATGTACATGATCTAGTTATTCTTAAAAGGCAGTAAACAAATCTTTATGGTTTTATGCTAGAAACTAGAATAGAAAATGCTGAACTAAAGACATTTATCAAATATTGAACGTGAAGTGTTGATGTGTTGACTCCCCATACCTCTATTTCCATATGTTGTCATCGAGTGTTCATTGGAGAAATTTCCAAAGAACCCCTTTGATTAGGATCGTGCAGGAATTGGATAATTATTGTGGATTTATTTCGCAATGTATTTGTTAAACAATCATCTACTCCAAAAGATTAAACTGTTGGAGCGTGTGCTCTTAAATATTTATACTTCAACACGACCCTTGAACTCAGGACCTCCTGCTCTGATACCAAGTTAAAATAGTAAATAGAATATTAGGATTAGAGAAACAAGAGAGAATAGATATTAATATGTTTTGTATAGTGGGTAGGTTGTCCTACACTCTTTATTTATAATTGAGCATTATGAATATAATTACAATATTACAGTAGACTAATTAACAGCCGTCTATAATATAGATTACATACTATAACATTCCCCCTCAAGCTGGAGTATAAAGATAAAAAATGTCCAACTTAGAACATAAACTAGTAAAGGCAGACCGAATCAATAGTTTGGTAAGAATATCACTCAATTGATCACCAAACTTAATATATGGAGTGATGATCTCCTTTTGCATTAAANAACATAAACTAGTAAAGGCAGACCGAATCAATAGTTTGGTAAGAATATCACTCAATTAATCACCAAACTTAATATATGGAGTGATGATCTCCTTTTGCATTAAGAGATCTCTAATGAAATGCCAATCTACTTCATTGTGTTTGGTACGTTCATAAAATACCAAATTACTAGCAATGAAGATAGTTGTTTGGTTGTCACAATGCATCTAGATAGGGAAAGACACATCCAGTCCCATAGCATCTCACAAGCAGTGTGTGCCATAGCATCTCACATGCATCTCAGCCTCTGCACTAGAACGTGCAACCACATTTTGCTTTTTGTTGCACCAAATAATAAGATTACTATGCACCACATAATAAGATTACTATCAACAAATGTACATTATCCATAAGTAAATAGCCTATCGCCATGACTACCTGCTTAGTCCACATTTGAAAAACCAACAATAGTTATGCATGATAATGGACGATATAACAATCCTTTCCCAGGAGCTCCTTTCAGATAGCAAACAGCCCCCCAATGAGTCTTACGAGGAACATGCATGAGGTGACTCACCACACCAACAACATATATAATATCAAGACATGTACCAGTAAGGTAAATCAACTTAACGACCAACCTCCGATAATGTCCTATATCATCAAATATTTCATTATTTTGAGGATCTAACTTAACTGTAGAGTCCATAGGCGTATCAATTGGACACGCATCAAGAGTACCTGTTTCAACTAGTAAGTCTAGTACATACTTTCACTAGCACAAATTGATACCCTCTTTTTATCGAGCAACTTCAATCCCTAGAAAATACAGAAGAAAGCCTAAGTCTTTGTTATGACACTGCTTCCCCCAAATAGGCCTTGAAATGGGCAATATCATCTTAGTCATTACCCCTGCTAGTGAGTCATCCATATACATAATAACAACAATAATGTCTGCGGAAGCTCGACGAATAATAACTGAATAATCTGAAATAGAGCGTTGAACCCAAATTGAAGTACCACGGTACCATGGTTCAAAGTCACAGTATCGGCCATTAACTCGGATGGCACTAATGCATATCAGTCACGGCATCACGGTACAGTAACGGCTGAGACACTCAAAATGATAGATAAAGTCCCAAAAAAATTTGAAAAAAATATCAAAAATTCTATATTATGTAAACAACATCCATGCATTATCGGCCTAAAATACATTATCTAACACATTAAAAATTATAAAAATAGATTATAAAGTCACTATCGAAAATAAAAATTATCTATGCTACACCAATAAAAAATAGTCATCTATAAATTATTAATTTCTTAAATACATTAGATCCCAATACTATGGAATATAAATAATATTTTTTTAAGTTTAAACATTTTTTAATTTAATGATAGAGTAAAACAAAGAACATACAAAAAAAAGAAGAAATTAGAAGAGAAAAAATAAAAATCAAGACATTTTTTTTAATCTTTTCCCTAATTCATGTTTTCCTATGATAGTGTGTCACTTTTAAGTTTCGAGAAGAGAGAGAGAAACAGAGAGACGGAGATGGAGGCGAGAGACAAGAGACGAAGAGATGAGAAAGGGACTGAGTGAGAGATCGCATGAAGATTAGGTCCTCTGCTACTCAAGTAGTCATCGTCCAATCGTTGAGCAGCCTAGGGTTTCTGCAATTGATATGTGAAGTCGATTG